GAGAGTCAAAGGAAGAGTGTTTTTCCTTCGACTTCCTGCTGTGTAGACAGCGCCAAAAGCCAAATTAAGCTATTTTGACTTAGCTACTCAATTGACGTAGCTGAAGTTGCGTAACTTAATTCGACTTTCGCGCTGCTGTGCAGACATACCCTAATTGCCTTCTCATTTTACTTAATGAGAATGTTCTGATTGGCTCTAATAAGGGCAGGATAAGGATCTGAGGGCCTCAGATGCATTATTAATATTCACAAGCAATCACAATTTGATGGCTGAGCCATACAAACTGAGAAAGGCCCCTGTGAGTTATTGCAGATGGGGATGAGAGCAAAGGTGTTCTCAGCCAAGCTGTTCCCCAGCTTGGTTACCCCGTCAGTGCCTGCTGGCAACTAGGAGAAACAAATAAGGGAAATGAAAGAGCTTCCTGATTCTGCTGAGTCTCAAAATCATATCAATATTTATTTTTCCACATTAATTTATCTCCTATCTGGAGAGGACTTATCTAGTATCCAACCTACAACTAAGAAAGAGGAGGAGAGTGTCAAAGGTTCTGTTTAAACTGATGTATGCACAACTGGTGTACACACAAGTGGCAATTCCGTAGTTAACCTGAAAATGAAATAACCTTCTAGCAGGCCTATTAGCTGAATGCTGAATCTTTGAAAGATTAATCTTTGAGAGGGAAGGACAGTGTGGCTATGTCTACACTCGCGGCTTCTTGCGTGAGTAATATTCAAATGAGGCTAAACGTGGAATATTGCTGAGCCTCATTTGCATACCTAATGAACCACTATTTTTTTCAGAAGAGGCTCTTGTGCAAAAAGGAGCGTCTACACTGCCCCTTCTTGCACAAGAAAAACTCTTGCGCAATGCCATTACACCTATTACTTTTCAGGAAGAACAGCATTGCGCAAGAGGGTTTTTCTTGTGCAAGAGGGGGCAGTGTAGACACTCCTTCTGGCGCAAGAGCCTCTTCTGAAGGAAATGGTGGCTCATTAGGTATGCAAATGAGGCTCGGCGATATTCCACGCTTAGCCTCATTTGCATATTACTCGCGCAAGAAGCCGCGAGTGTAGACATAGCCTGTGTGTTTGTGAGAATGCCAGAGACACACACACTATGTGAGAATGCCAAGCTCCCGCCATCCCCTTCTCTCTGTGTGGAGTAGGGACACCCTGACCTTCTCCTTCCCACACCCTACACAGCAGACAGGAGGCTCCCAGAGGGGCGGTTCCAAGGCAGGAGCAGCATAAGAGCAGGTGGAGAGGCAACTGAAGTGCCAGCGCTTGCTAGCTTCCCAGCCAAACCGGTCAGGACCCCCTGTCAAGCTCCAAGATCTACTGGTAGATCCCAATCTACTGGCTGGTGACCACTGCTCTAGCGCAGTGTTTCTCAAAGTGGGCTGCGGATCCACTTGGAGAAAGCTGCTAACAGGCTGCTCTGATTTGTTTACTTACCAGTTCCGCAGCCACGGAGCTGGTTGGGTCCCATTGGCTGCAGTTTACTGTTTTGCTTCCCGTTGCTTCCCTTGGCTGAAAATGGTGAACCAGAGCCCGTGGGAGCTGCCAGGCTCTGCGGCTGGGGAGCCAGTAAGTAAGCAAACTGGAGCAGCCTGTTAGCAGCTTTTTCAGATTGGGTCTGTGGCCCACTTTGAGAAACACTGTTCTAGAATTAACTACATTATAGTGCAGGAAAACGGGTGTTTAGGACTCAGTCTGACAAAGGACTAAGCACTCTGCTGTGAGGGCCATCTTTATCCGTATACAGAATAGGCAGCTGCATAAGGCAACCAAAAATTTGTCCACCCATCAGCCTCTTTCTATCGCTGTTTTGTGGCTGCTAGAGCCAGGTGCGTCTTCATCTAGAAAGGAGCTAATTAACTGCTAGTTAACTTGAAAGTGAAATGGCTTTCTAGCAGGCCTATTAGCACAACACTGAACCTGTGAAAGATTCATGCAAGTGGAAATGAAGCCATTTAACAGGTATATACTGTCAGTTTCTGAATTTAGTGTGGTGTATACAGGACCTTAGCTTAACATTTCCTTTACAATATTTCATGAGTGTGTTCCTGAAGATTATGAATTCACATCTCTAGAAACTCATTGTCATCCCACAGGACTGCAGGGAGGCATAGGGTCAGGGGATCCAACAGCCATGCTGGGCCCCTGGGCAAGGGGGGAATCAGTTCTGCGCTCCTGGAAGAGGTGGGACCAAGGGCAGCCAGCACTCAGTGCCACCTGGACGATGCCTCTCTCCCTCCCCCCCCTCGGGTTACCTGGATTATGCAGCACAGCACCCCTGTCTCCCCAGGCAGCAGTAAGAACTGCCCGCAGTACACCGTATGGTGCTCCGGCAGCAATTTAAAGGGCTCAGGGCTGTGGTACCACTGAGCCCCAGGGCAGCTGCCCTATTTACCCCTCTCCTGGTCAGCAGGCATGTGTAGGGGCAGCAGTTTAATAGTACTGCGTAGGGCCCCATAAATCCTAAAGACAGCCCTGCCTGCTCTAGATCCAGCAACCAGTTTAAAGTACATGCTTAGCTTTAAGTTTGTGAGCAATACTATTCATGTCAGTGAGGGTGTGTCTACACTGCACCTGTAGCTCGAAATAAGACAGTGGTGCACAACCTTTTTGCACTCTCAACCCCTGGGAATCATTTTGGTTGAGAAAAAACAAAACAAAACCGCAGCCCCTTTAAATGCTATTCCGCTCACCTGCCGCTCTCCCCACCCCCACTGCATGAATGTCGGGCAATACCAGCCAGCCCAAATCACAGCTTTGCGACCCCACCACCACCGAAATAAGCTACGCAATTTGAGCTATGCAAATTGCGTAGCTTACATTTGAAGTCAATTTCAAAATAGCGTATTTTGTAATTATACAGCACCAAATTTTGAAATAACCCGCTATTCCGAAATGTCCCTTACTCCTCATGGAATGAAGTTTACAGGGATGTTGGAATAGCAAGTCTGTTATATTTTGAAATAGCACCGCAGTGTAGACATAGCCTGATAGTGCTTGTGTGCTGTTGGGTGAAGGCCAGAATGTTGAGCACCTTGCAGGATTGAGCTCTCAGCTAGTACGCTGTGAGATCTCGATTTCATAAATAATTTCTTACCTTATAGTTATTTCTTATGGCATCAATGCGATGAAGAAACTAAACTTTGTCGGCTGCCAAGCAGAATATGGCTCAAATAATCAGTTTCCTGAATGTCTGACCCTTTTTTAGACATTCATTTAAAAAAATGAAAGCTCTGATCTTTGGAGGTGCTGAAAACTCTGAAGGACAGGAGCCAAAAACGTCAGCTAGTCCTAAATATGCTTCTTCACAGGCTCTTACAAATTGCACTTTTGTGAATCACTTATTCCCTGAAACCAACAGCTGAAGAGTCCTCAGCTCAGAGCAAACTGACTCATGTTGTTCAGTGGGAATTGAAAGTGTTCAACACAGGGCAGCTGGAAAGCTAATCAGACCAACTGATATCTCCATCAGTCATTGGTTTAATACAAATAAAATGAACATTTTCTAAAGGCATCCTCTGATTCATAAAGTGTTTGGTAACAGGATATTACCAAAGGTCACAGGATCACCTCTCACTTTTTGAAAATAAACATCCGGATTTTGCTTCTATCCTTTAGGCAAGAGATCATTATTCTATGCCAATGTTCCAGGCAACTGATAGTATCTCTTCATCATAAAATGGGCAAGATGGAAAAAGAAATCTGCATGGCTGACATAGATGGTCAGAACTGTTTCCCAGCCACACTCAGCTCTGCATGTCTATGAAGAAAAAATCTCTAGGATTTCCACCTTCCTCTCACCCTCAGCCTGCTATTTAAATCAATCATTTTTAAAATCACTACTATCCCTGTAATTTTGAAAGATCCACGTGAACTGCCCCTTCTTAGCTTCTCATTGAGATGTTTTGTCTATTGTCTGTTTACTTGTAAATTGGTGTGGCCTGGCCTGACCTCACACTAGGCTTGAACATCATATTTAAAACAAGTGACAGTGAAAATATTCTTTATGATGCATTTGGAACACACACACCTACTGGGTGTGTGATTCACTGTCCCATGTAACGGCACTGAGACTACTTACACAGAGAAAGAATGAGTGTGCGCTACAGCCTTAGCTGAGAGCCAGCTGGCTTTTAGCTCAAGCAGTAGAGGCTCGTGCACTAAGCAGAGGTCTCAGGTCTAGTTCTGCCTGTTGGCATTACATATTCACCCATAATCTTAGGTAAAAAGTCCTCTGATATATGAAATTGCAGTGGGTTCCAGATCCTTATTGGAAAGGACAGTTTTGACTTGTTTATGAAGAGAAGGATGTTGGGATGTTGAGAATGCAAGGTTCTTTCTTGTATCCTGAGATAAGGGTCACCTTGTTAACCTCAAGATTTAGCTAGAATTGAAATGAGTTGGTGGTCGCTGTTCAGTTCCCAGTAGACATCTGCCAAAATAATGAAAAGCTGTGGCGGCGCGTCGGGGTCCCCCGCCTCCTGCACCCCCGTAGTGGCACAAACAGACTCCACCAGCCAGTAGAATAGAGGGAGTTTATTGCGTCTCCAGGATACAGCACAGCACAGATGGAATCTGGTTACAGGAACTGGGGCTAAGAGGCCTCAGAGCCCCCCATTGACATGGGGGGTGGCTGGGCCCTACAATCCCAGCCCCCTCCCTAGCTCCTTCTCCCCTGCTTCCCAGACCGAAACTAAAAACACCGTCCCTTCCAGCCCTGCCCCCCAGCCAGGGGCGTCATTCCACCTTCCTTTGTTCCTCTCCCTGGGAGGTAACTGGTCGAACAGGTTACCTCCCTGTCCCATCAGCTACTCCGCTGGGCTGTGGTACAGACAGGAACCAGTGGGGGTCACCCACAGCCCAAGCCTAGCAACCAGCAAGGTACCAACACTATGTCACAAAAGCACCATTGCATTTAGCACTGATTGGCTTTAAAGAGCCCTGGACTACAGAGGAGATGCTGTTCACAGTCCAGAAGAACCTTTCAAATCAGGACTCCCCCTTTGGCAGAGACAAGGGAGGTCCTGAGCAAATGAAATGAGGGTGTTTTAAATAGGAGCAGCATGGAAGTATTTGCAGAGATGCTTTTGAGTAGAGCTGAGAACAGAGTATTGAGGGACTGTAACAGAAGGAGGAATGTTGCAGAAGAGCTACCAGAAGAAATGCTGGCAGAGTGGTTAGAGAGATAAGAGAATAGAAGAAGGGGCACAGAAAGCAAGGAGAAGAGGATCATCCATATTACTGAAGTCAGAAAAAAACTCAATGAGAATGGGAATGGAGCATCGGCCCATAAGTACAGGCAGAAAAAGATCATCTGATATTTTGGTGAGAGCAGTGTGACGCCATGCCCCCATATTTGTATGGAAATATGTTTTTAATATAAATATGCATAACTCAAATGTGCTTTATGCATAATGGGTCAAGTAACCTATCATTCAAGAGCTTGTAACCCCCTGAATGTGTATATTCAATTTGTGTTCATGTATCTATCTTGAATGTGAAGTCAGAAATATGAAATGTAAACCTATTTATTAATCTAGGTCTTCTAGTGAAAGCCATTACTGGTACTTAAGGAACATATTGGCCCAGTGCTCAAGGTAATGATCTGTGAATGGTTTTGTTTTTCCTGTAAGCCTAAACTGTGGTTGGTACTATGAAGACATGTGACCATGTCACCTGGTGCTGGAATCCATCTTAAATTTAGTATATTTCCTACTAGGATGGGGAGAATTGAACAAAGAGTTCCTGCTCTGGGGAAATTCTATTTAAGGGATGGCAAGCAAAGAATGATTGTCTTCACCTGGTTTCACAGACTGCTCCCCACCACAAGAGGACACATGAAGAACCTGGAAACAAAGAACACTAATGTGCGAGGTAGAAGCAGCTGGACCCCTGTCAGAAAAGAAGATCAGCTCTGGCCTAAAGGACTTTACCTAAAATTAAGGACTAAGGTGAGAAAATCTGATTTGCAGCCATTTCTCTTACTGTATTAGGCTTGGCTGTCATGTTTTGTTTGTTGTAGCTTAGTAACTTATTTTAATTTGTCTGTCATCACTTGCAACCACTTAAATCCCACTTTTTATACTTAATAAAATCACTTTAGTTGATTATCAAACCCAGTGTAAATAATTGATACCTCGGGAAAACAACAGCTATGCAGTTCTCTCTTTCACTGATGTTGAGAGTGAATCCAATGAGCTTTCTCTGTCTAAATTTTTTAGATACAATACAAAGTAAGATGGAATTATTTGGGGTTTTGGTCCCTTTGCAGGGACCATGCCATTAGGTACTGTCAAGTCCCTGCAACTGAGCCATGCCAGAGCTGAGCTGTTATCAGTGTCTGTGTTACTCTGTTGGGAAGCTGTTACCCCAACTCTGTGCTTTGGCTGGGGGAGACCAGAGCTTCTGGCCCAGCAGGACAGTGGGACTGCCTAGGCAGCAGGTAAGCAGACTCAGCGGTACAATCAGCACTTCGGATGATAGTCTCTGTGCGATCTCACATCACACGCAGTTTCAATGGAATATAGAGAGCAGAAGCAGAGTTTGAATTCAAAATAGGTCAAGTTCTCAGATAAAGATCAACAGATCCTTTAATATCATGGGTCCAAACTCAAACTTGATATAGGTGGCTAAAACGCCACTGAAATTGCACCATCTTACATCAACTCTGAATTTGGCTCTCCGTGATTTGGATTTTGACATATGCTTCATTGGAAATTATCTTAGATCAACATATGCCACCTTGTGGTAAATGAACATGATGCACATTTTCTCTCAAATATATTTTTAAAACATGTTATGCTAGATGATGTGAATTGCATCTCGGGTCTTGCAGGGGACACAGAATGGGCACAAGCCCATCAATAGCTTCTGCATAGTTTGGAGCTCCAACTGTTCAAATTCCTCCATAAACTCAGGTTCTTCAATCACACACTGCTGCAATATTTCCCTGAAAACCTCCATCACTTACAGAAGGGCTGAATTTGATCCAATGTGCTCCATGCAGGACAATCTCGAAGCCAAACACTTCTGCAAAGCAGATTTTTGTTTAGAGACTTGTGGGCACTCGCAATTTAATAATGTGTTTTCTTATGGTTTCAACAAAGCGCAGCACAATGCTCATCAGAGACTGGCTCAGAAGTTTGGATATAAGATTTTTTAAAATGTTGGGGGGAGCATTCTGGAATATGACTCTGGTTCCACTCTTAGATCTCCAGCTGGTATCAGAGTGCAGCTAAAACCTTCTAAAAAAATGTTTCTAGGTATATCTTTGAGGATTTTTTGATGCACAGCAGTTGGACTGGGAGGAGAATTCTGTGCCATTGCACATGCACAGAATTTATGTCCCCCACAGACTTCTTTGCTTTTCTGCAAAAAACAACAACTTTCTGATGGTGAAGCAAAGGGAAGCTACAAACCAGCAGAGATGTAAATTACTGAAGGGAATGGGGCAGGACTGGGGAAGATCCAGCTAGGAGCTCCTATCCTACATCGGGCTCAACCGCGAGGCCTGGCTGAGCTGGGCAGGGCAGGAATTCCTCTTCCCCTGCCCATCATTGAGGGCCAGGTCAGATATACACTCCCAGATTTTCCCCCAGTTACAGAAAGCTCTGCTAACTTGCTCCTGCCCCACTCATCCATTGTTCCTTAGCTTCAGGGAGAGGGACGTCTGTAATGGGAGCTGCTCTGCCATCCACCCAATCCCCACGCATCCAGACGTTCTCCTACCCAGACCCTCCAGCCTCACCTCACCTCCCTACCCTCACAGCCCCCGATGAGCCCCACTCCACCTGAACCTGGACAAGCAACCCACCCCTGAATCCACACACCACCGAGACCCAGCTAGCTACACTTGAATCCCCCATCCCACTGAGCCCCATTCCCCCAGCAGCTGGACCCGCCCCCCAGATTCTCCCTGCTGAGCCCAATCACCTTCTCCTGGACCTCCTGCACAGTTCCATAACAGTTGCACCCAGTAAGTCCCTGTGCATCCAGAGGCCCTTCCACCCACCCTCACACACACACTCCTTGGTCCCCTTCTGAACCTCCTGCACCCAAACAGAACAATCTCAACCATCACCTGGCTCTCCCCACATTAAGCCCCTCCACAGGTAAATCTTGCCTTGCTGAGCCTTTCTGCCCACATGTGGCATAGAGAAGCAGGGCCTGGAGTGTTTCTGGGGCAGGCCTTGTCCTTGTGTTATGTCAGCGCTGGGTGCAGCCTCACCTCTGAGTCCATGTCTGGTGGGAGGGTGAGAGGAGGCAGCATAGTGATCTTCCACCTTTGTGCAGCCCGTGGCCTGTGCTCCCCAATATCATGCTGGTGCCTCTACATTTATTTGACAAATAAAACTTGCAGAATTTAAAACATTGTGGCAGAATTTTTAATTTGGGGCACAGAATGCCCCCAGAAATAACAGCAATGAATGCTGCTTATGTCAGATTACAATTTGTTTAGTACAGACTGATTATTTATAACTGGGAGGGGGGGGGGAGTGGTTAGGGTACCAGGCTAGACCTTGAGATTTGGGCTTTAGTCCTGTCTCTGGCACACACTTGTGACCTTAAGCAAGTCACTTTAACTCTCTGTGCCTGATTCACATTCACACCCAGCCTCTGTAGCACCACTCTGGCATGTAATGGGATCTTAAATGAGAATAAAGTCCTCTACTGCTGATTTCCAGTGTACAAAATAATGCCTACTTCTCTTTGTAAGTGTCTTTGAGATCTTCCAAAGAAAGACACTATAGATGTGCAAAGTAAGCAGCTGATTCAGGGTTCGTCTACATAGCACCCTTACTTCAAAATAAGCTACACAATTCATGCTATGCAAATTGGGTAGCTTATTTCAAGGTTATTTCAAAAAAATTTTTTTTGAAATTAGGTGCTGTCTACACAGTGCCAAATTTCTAAATAAAGCATGGAATGAGGGTTACAGGGATGCTGGAATAGCATGCTTGTTGTTTCAAAATATATATTTTAAATAACGGGCATGTTTAGAGATGTGGAATTGCTATTTCAGTAAACGTCCAGTATCCCCAAATAGCCCCACTTTCTAGATGTAGCCTCACTGAATTGTATGGATTTTGATTTTACCTTTTTCAGATTTAAGAGAATAGAAGTTTTTAACAATCTAAAATTATTTAGAAAATGATGAAGAATTATACAACCGATGTTTATAATTGATTGGGAATTCTGTGCATCACGTTCCATGACATTGGCTATAGCTAAGCACTACAATATAAAGCATGGTTTATATTGCTTTGGTCACCAACCCAAAGCAATATAAACCAATATAAAATTGGTCAGCCACTCAAACGTTTCTTGCTGCTCCCCACTCTTATTTCGTATCTTATTTTGAGCTA